TTCTGTCAAGAAAGAGCATTCCAGACACTAAAAGAGAAGCTAACGTCCGCTCCCATTTTGAAATTCCCAGATTTTTCTAAGCCCTTCTATTTGACAACTGATGCTAGTTCAATTGGCATAGGTGCCATACTAGCTCAGAAGACTGATGGCAAGTACAACGCAGTTGCATTTGCTAGTAGAGTCCTTACGAAGGCTGAACGTAATTATACAGTAATGGAGCAAGAAGCTTTAGCAATAGTATGGTCTTTGAAGCACTTCCGAGACATTATTTACCAGTACCCTGTTCATGTCTTGACAGACCATGCACCACTGATACCTTTATTCCAGAACAAACAACCTACTGGAAGGTTAGCCAGATGGACCTTGACTATCCAAGAGTTCAATCCCACTTTTGAACATTTACCTGGCAAGTCAAATGTAGTCGCAGATGCTTTATCGCGACACGTTAGTGTAGTTACTGCAGATCCTCCATTTACTGCAGAGGATGTAAAGAATGCCCAAAGAACAGATCCCATGTGGTCTGGTGTGATTCGATTCCTGCTCCAGGAAGATCTTATTCTGACTGTGAAGCCACCAGCACCCATCAGTGACTTTGTAATGAGCCAAGAATTACTGTATCAAACAGCCAAGTTGGGTACTCCAAGCAGAAGAGTTTACCAGTTAGTAATTCCACAGTCACTAGTGAATGTAGCTCTACAGCTAGTTCACGATGCACCAGGTGTTGCACACCCTGGTATGGATCGTTCTGTGAAACAAGCCAGAATGAAGTACTTTTGGCCACGTATGGCAGCTGACATTTCAGAGTATGTTAAGAAATGTAGTGTTTGTATGCAACATAAAGGAAATGTCAATGGTCCTAATCCAATCCAAGTGTACCCAACCACTAGCGAACCGTGGGAAAGAGTTGCCCTTGATTTATTAACCAATTTTAAAATGTTCCCTCCAAGGCAACAAACATCTGTGTGTTATGGTAGACCATTTCACCAGATATTGTGAGTTAGTTCCTATTGCAGATAAGACTGCAGAGACAGTAGCTAAAGCGTTTAAAGAACGCATTATCTGCAGGCACACCACCCCTAAGTCCTTAGTAACAGATAATGGAGGTGAATTCTGTAATGAGATTCTTGAAAATTTGTGTACTTTGTACAAGATCTCTAAATTCACCATTGTTCCTCATCATCCTGCCAGCAATGGGTTAGCTGAACGAACCAATAAGAAAGTACTTGATGTCTTGAGAGCCACTATCAACCCCAATAGTGAAGCTTGGGATGAAGTTATACCAGATGTTCAATGTGCCATAAATTCTGCTTACAATGCTTCCATAGGTGATACTCCACATTATGCATTGTATGGTGTAGACAAGCGTTTACCCTATGAGTTGTTATATTCCACTCCGAAACCCAATTACAACCCTGATGATTTCGTAGCAACTCGTACAAGCATGGCTCAGAGTGTTTTTAGAAGAATCCGTGAAACACTTCATAAATCAACAGCAGAATTTACTAGAGTTGCTAATAGCCGTGCTAAACCATCAAAAGTTAAAGTAGGTTCAAGAGTAATGCTGACAAATTTCAACAAAACATCCGAAATGCCTAAGCTCGATCAAAAGTTTGTTGGCCCTTATTGAGTTGTAGAACATATCACAGGCAATAAGTATAAGGTTAGAGAAATTAGTACTGGTAAGTACAAAGAATCGCATTTAGATCATATGAAATTAGTATGCGATGTTGATGATATTGCTACCCAGACTAATGTAACAGATGCTGAAAATCCTCTTGACTCTGTACCCTCTACCTCAAATATTCAGTCAGATATTCAACCTGAATGTTGTTACTCCTTGCGTACTCAACAAGTAATGAGAAACCCACAAGTATCTTTTGTAGATACTCGTTCAGATCTCCCTCAGTCAAGGCATGTTAGCCATTGCAGAGGAATTCGATCCTCCCAGAGATGATAACCATTCTGCATATGTAAACCTCACCCTCGCAGAATTGGGTTTAAATGTACATAGTCTGTATAACTAGTTGTCCGAGATGAAGGAAATTGTCAACTGTTTATTATTAACTGATCAGTTTTTCAGAAATTTTTTTTTCGTGTTCACGTTCCCTCCGTATTCTGAGAATTTGACAGTAATGATCTGAGTGCGCACCAGATGCCTTTGCTGTTAATTTCACCTTGTATATATATATATATATATATATTTTCAACAAGTCGGTCGTCTCCCACCGAGGCAGGGTGACCCAAAAAAGAAAGAAAATCCCCAAAAAGAAAATACTTTCATCATCATTCAACACTTTCACCACACTCACACATTATCACTGCTTTTGCAGAGGTGCTCAGAATACAACAGTTTAGAAGCATATACGTATAAAGATACACAACATATCCCTTCAAACTGCCAATATCCCAAACCCCTCCTTTAAAGTGCAGGCATTGTACTTCCCATTTCCAGGACTCAAGTCCAACTATATGAAAATAACCGGTTTCCCTGAATCCCTTCACTAAATATTACCCTGCTCACACTCCAACAGATCGTCAGGTCCCAAGTATCATTCGTCTCCATTCACTCCTATCTAACACGCTCATGCACGCTTGCTGGAAGTCCAAGCCCCTCGCCCACAAAACCTCCTTTACCCCCTCTTTCCAACCCTTTCGAGGACGACCCCTACCCCTCTTTCCTTCCCCTATAGATTTATATGCTTTCCATGTCATTCTACTTTGATCCATTCTCTCTAAATGACCAAACCACCTCAACAACCCCTCTTCTGCCCTCTGACTAATGCTTTTATTAACTCCACACCTTCTCCTAATTTCCACACTCCGAATTTTCTGCATAATATTTACACCACACATTGCCCTTAGACAGGACATCTCCACTGCCTCCAACCGTCTCCTCGCTGCTGCATTTACCACCCAAGCTTCACATCCATATAAGAGTGTTGGTACTACTATACTTTCATACATTCCCTTCTTTGCCTCTATAGATAACGTTTTTTGACTCCACATATACCTCAACGCACCACTCACCTTTTTTCCCTCATCAATATATATATATATATATATATATATATATATATATATATATATATTATATATATATATATATATATATATATATACAGTGGACCCCCGCTTAACGATCACCTCCAAATGCGACCAATTATGTAAGTGTATTTATGTAAGTGCGTTTGTACGTGTATGTTTAGGGGTCTGAAATGGACTAATCTACTTCACAATATTCCTTATGGGAAAAAATACGGTCAGTACTGGCACCTGAACATACTACTGGAATGAAAAAAGTTCGTTAACCGGGGGTCCACTGTATATATATATATATATATATATATATATATATATTTCCTCAGAATCCGTAGAGTGCATGAATACAGATCGATCGATCAATTCCATCCCATATTGTACCATGATTTGTTCTTATAGATTGTAATGCATTACATTAAAAGTGATTACGTTAACACCCATTACGTAAAACTCATTTTGTTAACATCCAGTATGATACCATCCATTAGTTCTAAGTTATATATGAATTTGTTATTGTATAGAATCAGCCCAGAACCACCTGCCTGTTCAGCCTATAGCATAGTAGTGTATGTCGAGACGACATACGTAACATGACCGAGCTGTCAGCATAGTTGCTGATCCCCTTATATGTGTTATATAGATTAGCTGAGTATCATAGTACCATCCATGTGTTTGTATAGAAGATCCCTTAGGCCTGTGACGGTATGACATCACGGGGTACAGCTTGAGGCAATGAGACGAGTTACCTCGGTCTCACTCGACGGACCACCTACGAACAGGCAAGAACACGGCAGGCCTGGGCTCCCACCTCTCATCACAGTCTGACAATACATAGTGTTACCATCCAACAAGTGTGTCTACCTTCAACCCTCGTAATCTCCTTACCGAACCCCATACGACATCACAAAATAACTGTCCACAATCGTCTGTCTCACAAAATAACTCCACAGTCGTCTGTTTCTGTCTCACAAAATAACTGTCCACAATCGTCTGTTTGTCTCACAAAACAACTCCACAGTTGTCTGTTTCTGTCTCACAAAATAACTGTCCACAGTCATCTGTTTCTGTTTCACAAAATAACTGTCCATAGTCGTCTGTTTCTGTCTCACAAAATAACTGTCCACAGTCCTCTGTACATCCTGGCAAGCTCAACAAGTCTCACTTCAATCTCATACTTTTGTATTTCCTTCTTCACATCTATGGTGTTTCTCACTTTCTTTACCACAGGGGTACCGCTAGCAAGTTTCTTTGGGCCCATGGCAGCGTATTTCACAGCCCCACAAGCACTAAACACAAATAATCGTAAAATGTGTGAATGAGATCGCAGGTTAGTGTTCACTCAAGCATAAACAAAGCTAGACTGCTCACGGCGTCTGCACAGGGACGCGGACAGAGTGGGCCAGCGGACAGGTCCTGTACCCGGCCGTCCGAAAATAGGGGTGCGTTTGATAATAGGGACACAGTTTGTCCGAAAAAATGGTCTTATTTTCAAAATGTTCGATATGTGATACGTTCGATTTTTGAGGTTCCACTGGAACTTTAAAACTCTTGAAATTTTGGAAAGTTTCCAGATGTAAGAGATGTGGTCATGAAGAATGTAAACAAACTGGGTGGGGCACGCTGTATTTAAAAGATCGCTTGCCGTATAGCAAATTTTGGTCATAATTTGACGTCGCCATATTAGCGAAATGCCGCAAAGCGGGGCCCTACTGTATACGTATATATATACATACATACATACTTCACATGGATTATTATTATTTTAATCAAGGTGGAAGCGCTAAACCCGGAGGATTATACAGCGCCTGGGGGGGGGGGGATGTGGAAGGCATTCAGGCTTAATTCGGGGAACTGGAGCACAGATCCAATTCCCTAAATCAAGAGCCCCTCACCAACATCAAGGAACCTTCCTTGAGGGGATACTTCACATGGAGATTAGGGGGTACTGAATATAACAAAGATCCTCAGCAATAAGATTTTTATTTCAGTTTTTGTTATCCATTATCTATAAAAGTGATGACAAATGAAAACAAATACTCTGATGAACATTTACAGTACACAAGGTACACATAGAAAATCTATGTACACAAACTACCTACTCATGTTATGTCATACTTAACATGTCAACACTGACATTACAATTGGAGTCCATAAACAGCATACACATACTGTAATGTATGAACCTAAACAAAGGTAAACATTATCCTGTAGATGTATATTATCTACATGTAGAAGTACATAGTCTACATGTAGAAGTATATAGTCAGCATGTAAATGTACATTATTTGTAATAGTACACTGCCTATATGTAAATGAATGTAATCTACATGTAGATTATCTTGTAGATCTTTGTGTACAAGTTGATTATCTATGTAAAAGTACATTGTCTACATGCAAATGTAGATTGTACTTTAGATGTATATTATCTACATTATTGTTGTTCTTCTTTCAACAAACCGGCCGTATCCCACTGAAGCAGGGTGGCCCAAAAAGAAAAACAAAAGTTTTTCTTAACTATAGTAATGTATGCAGGAGAGGGGGTCACCAGACCCTTGCTCCTGGCATTTTAGTCGCCTCTTACAACACACATGGCTTACGGAGGAAGAATTCTGTTCCACTTCACCATGGAGATAAGAGGAAATAAACAAGAACTAGTAAGAAAATAAAAGAAAGTCCAGAGGGGTGTGTATATATATGCTTGTACTTGCATGTGTAGTGTGACCTAAATGTAAGCAGAAGTAGCAAGACATACCTGAAATCTTGCATGTTTATGAGAGAAAAAACACCAGCAATCCTACCATCATTTTACATTCACTTGGCAGGACGGTAGTACTTCCCTGGGCAGTTGCTGTCTACCAACCTACTACCTAGGATTATCTACATGTAAATATTGTGGGAGCAAGGGGCTAGTAACCCCTTCTCCTGTATGCATTACTAATGTTAAGAAGAGAAACTTTTTGTTTTTCTTTTTTTGCCACCCTGCTTGGGTGGGATACAGCCAGTATGTTGAGACAGGGAGAAATATATATTGTGTATATGTAATATATTATTTTCATGTAGATGTATATTATATTCAGGCAGATATTCATTTTCTACAGGTTGATGTATATAATCAACACGCAGATGTACATTACATACAGACAGGTGTATATTTTCTTATATTGATCTATATTATCTACATATAGATGTAATCTATCTACATGTTGATGTATATCACCTACATTTAGATGTATCACGAGATAATAAGCTTAAACTGCACACTGTCATGGATGTCAGCTGCAATATTTAAATTTTCAATATACTGTAATGTACTGAAAACAAAAAAATACATTTCTAGTAATATACAATAAGCTACTTAAATTTTTAATTTATACAAATCTATAAAAACCTCTCGAATAAAGGACATTTTGTCTTCCTCGTTGTGTGCCTGCAATTCATTTTCCAATATGTAGGGTGTACATAAAAAATTATGGACAGAGTTTTTGGTACATCAATAACTTTACCTTGATTATCCACATGTAAAATTGAAATGCTAGAAATCTATAACACTTTTTTTTTTTTTATATTTTTTTTCAGACTAAGAATTCTGTATGTTTTAGATAAACTTGTTTAAAAATAATTCAGTTGACATTATTATGATTTCTGGAGATTCAGGATTAGAGCTGCTTGGTACTTGGATTATCAAGGCACAGGTGTAAAGGTGATTACACAGAGCCATTGCATATTTCATTTCGTATTCCAAATGCACCGCAAAATGGTGATTTGTCACAATCTCTAATCCAAATAGCATCCTACACTAAATACATTTGGACAGTTAGTAGAAATCAAATGATTCCACAACGTTTTTGTGGGTTAGATTCAACTGTAGTCCAATGGACCATGATAAAGTACTTCTTATACAAAAACTTTATTTAATTCAAACATTTTAGTTCCACCTAGTAATCTTTCTCCACATGGTATGACACCAGTAATCTTTCTCTACATGGGTTGACATAAGTAATCTTTTGCCACATGGGATGATACCTAGTAATGTTTCTCCACATGGGTTGACACCTAGTAATCTTTCTCCACATGGTATGACACCTAGTAATCTTTCTCCACATGGGATGACAATAGTAATCTTTCTCCACATGAGATAACACAGAATACAGCATTAGAGAGCATATAACGCAAGTTATTTTTAATGATGGCTTGACAAAGAGCAACATAATATCATTATCAAAATATAAACGTGATCTGTAGTTATTAGTACAAAATAGCAGTGTTTATAAAATAAATAAACTAAGAAAGGCTCAGATCATAGAGTGAAAAAGCTCATTAATAATTAGTAACCATACCATTACCTTGGAGCAATGATTTAATACGTATAAAAAAATCATTCACAAACATCTCAAAATACAAATTATGTAAAATTTTACATGATAATTGTTAGCCTTAATAATAATAATAATTACAATATAAGAGATACTTGATATGTACATTTATGCACCAATGTATTTTTCACATGTACACTACTACACACTGTATGACCCACATGGGTTTAGTGCTTCCTTGTGAATATATTAATAATACAGCAATAATAATAATAATAACAATAATAATAATAATACATAATTATATATACTGTATTGCTTTCCTATTCATTATCTTTAAACATTAATTTTTGTAACAAAATAAGTTTTTCTCCCTAAGCTTTACAATGAGCGTAGTTCTGCATGAGCCAAGCAGGGTTAGCGCTTTCTTGTGACTACCATAATAAGAGCAGTTTACAATGAATTCAAAATAAACTTGGATGTCAGCAACAAGTAGAGCAAGAACACACATTAGAGCTTTAATATAACACAGAATCAAGTAATGGCTGAAGCTTGTGCTTCAGGATTAATGGGGTTTCTCTTATGGCAGTAAAAAAAATCTACCATTATCCTTGACAATTCTGGTCTTTCCATTCTACATCCAATACAACAAACCATGACTACTAGAGTATATACTGTTTTTTTACATACAAACTTGTACGAGTACATGGAATTTGAAGAAAAACAAAGCCCCATACATAATTCGACAAGCAGGTAAAGAATCTGATAACCTCACAGCAATTTAAATAAGATAATTTCTTCTCAACATAACCTACACATCAATAATACAGACAGATGATCAAGTAATGCAGCTTAACCTGCACATTCATCATACAGTAATGCAGTGTAACCTCACACGTCTAGTTTATAATTAATGCTTAGCTAAATTATTAATCATTTTACTTGTTCTAGAGTTGAAATTCTTTCAAAAAAGTGCAACACTTTGGTATCGGTGCTCAGTATGAATGTATAGAAACAGGTGTAGGGGACATTCCAGAAAAAGTAAGAGGGAAGGGAAATAGGAAGTGGGAGAGGCTAGAGTATCCACCAGGCATGTGTGAGTATGTTATACCTGAGTGAATATATCTATTTATATGAATCGATAAACCCGTCTGAGTAGTGAAGGCTTAATCCTTCTCCTGTTAATTGCAAGATAGACACACTAGCAAACTGCTTTCAGAGTGGTTATTTGGGGGGATTTGATGTGTTGTTGGAGTGTGAGGAAGGTATCATTATGAAGGCTCTCAGACTGGTCAGCTGGATTTGAGTGCTGGAGGTGAGATGTACAGTGCACCAGCAATCTGAAGGATGGGAAAATGATGGGTTTGGGAGAGTCATTTGAACTGTGATGTATGTGTACCTCTTGACAAAATAGCTATTGAATGAGTAGCAGCACCAGCTGTGATATTTACAGAGCAATCTGACTGTATAGCTTCCTTATTGAAAGAGTGATGGTTAGAGTTTCTTTGGTCACCCTAACAAGCAATACGGTAAAATGAAAACAATTCTATTACAATGGTCCATGTGAAAAATATCAGCCTTTAAGAATAGTTGAGATTACTGCATGTAAGTTGTGTGCTAATTTCATAACAAAATTTACACTGCTAATGAAAAATAGACCATTTTGAAAAAATTTGACATGCAAAAACTTACTACACAGCTCTCTGGAATGATGTGTATGGTCAGAGGTTAATGGAACTGGGAGTTAGTATTTATGCAAGATTAATGTCAGAGTCAATGCAAAAGGTTAATTTCTGTTAAAAAGCCAGAGTGTGTTTACACTGAAAATAGGAAGCTGGGGGAGTATATCAGTTATTGAACACGTTAGGACAATGTAAATGTTGAAAGTGAATGTTACGTGTTCTTTGATGGGACAGCAACTAAGATACTGCGAAATATGTTTCACTGGTCTGGCATTCTTCATGGCAAGGTGCTGGCCATCTCTCCGTGTGGTATCCATGTGTGAGTCATCTGTCTGATATGTAATCATGTAACTCCGATTTCCCATACCCAACATCGGTGAAAAATGGGCAGGAACTCAACTGAAGTTTGATGGAAAACAATGAGTTGTGCTCTTCTAATTCAGGCAAATGTTGTTGCCAGCAACTTCAGAGTTATAGATCTCAGTAAGTAAAACTAGGAAGCATGTCCGTCTTGCACTCAGCAAACAGAGGATCGAGCCTACACTATGTCTTGTGCTGAATGACCCACAAGAATTATTTATTCTTCATGGGGGAAGTGGAAATAAATCCTTCCTCTGTAAGCCATGCTTGTTGTAAGTGGTGACTGAAATGCCAGTTGGGATACAGCTGATGTATTAACAAATGAATTACTTATTCAGCATTTTGGAGAGAGTACTGGAAAATATGCCAAGAAATGGCCTGCCCTGTGAAAGACTGGTAGGTTGTGAATAGTGGATTGAGTGTCTTGAGTGTCAATTGCCCTGGATGTGCAAGATATGACTGCATTATCCTGACTTAAATCTGCTGTGAAAAAAAAGGATAAAATCTGCATTTAAGATTCCTAATACTTGAGTAAGTGGAATGAACAGGCTCATCACAAAGCCTGAAATAAACTCAAACAAAACCCAACAACAAAAGAACACAAGACGTATTGAAAACAAATCCATCAATATTTAACTGGTATGTTTAAGAATACAAAAGAATCAGCATAAAGACAATTGGCATCATACAAGTGCAATGATTGTACCATGTCAATTTGTTGTACAGCACTGTACCATCAACACAAATCTCCAGCATGTGTGTCACATTCACATTTTTGGAAGCCTCACCCTTCAAGGGGAGGAGGAAGGGGTGCCATCATGCCAGAAAAAGGGCTCTTGATCCAAGGAATTGAAGTCTCTCTCCCCTTCCTTGGATCTAAGCAGATCATTTCCCATTCCCCAGGCTGTGTATGACACTAATTATAGGGAAGTCCTGTCCTTATGGTCTTCTGCAGAGACTATTAAGTTACAGTACCTGGACATCTTGTCTGCAAGATCACGTACAAAATTTTTCATAACCACATACTTCACGATGAAATTAATTTATTTAGTAAATTTAGAAACACTCTCAAACACTTAGTTTATGTGATTGCCATTTATAAATCTTTTAACAAATTAGCAGTAATCAATATAAATTAATAATTAAAAACAAATGATCACTGGACATTAAAACTAACTATACAGGGAATCTGAGGAGCACTATAGAGTTAAGACGTAGATCACTTTATGACATCATGTACTTATGGATGGATATTGTGCTGTATGCATCATTTCTGTGATTGAAATATTTAGGTTCCTAGTGAAAGTAATGAGGAGTGGAGGTTGAGTTCTACAAACATAGTGATATAAACCTACCAGGTACAGAATACATTACTAGGAGGTCACATACACAATGCTACAATCACAGATGCATAGCAGGAAGAGATACTGACATAAAAATAGTTGACATTAGTACTAAAGATATTGTGGCAACTGGAAATATTAGTTCAATTTTGGTCATAACTTACATCGTGTCATCATATACATGTACTTCAATAACAATCAGAATGCAGTATCACAAAGCTTTCTAATAACTATTATTATATTTGGCTTATTATGTGCCAACAAGGAGAGCGCTATTCAACTGGTAGATCAGATGTCATCGACGTGAAATCACTGCTCTGGCCAGATACCTTCAACAATTTCATCTGAATGTAGAAAGTTTACAGTTTGCCCTCATCAGAGTTGCAACAATCACAGGAAAATCACACTTACTCATACATTTCTTGTCCATACCTCAGCCTTGATGGGCAAGGCCAGAGAATGGCCACAATGAGACTATAAAACACTGCAAGTGAGATCATAGGATTGTACACTTAGCTAACCAACTGCTGATAGATTTGCGTGGAGGTTCATTGGGCTTGATTGTGTGGCCACCCTTGGGCGGGTTACTTGCTTCCTGGAAAGTAGGGAAAATATTGAGAAAATTATATAAAACTCTTATATGCATAAATATGTTACGTACAGTATATGGTTTAATCATAAATGCTGAAATGAGTGTTTTCTAAAAATACTACTGCTGTGGTTTTCAAACTAATACAAGGACTGTGCTGAAACTAAGAACACACATGAAAATAAACTAAGTGTTAATAAACCAGTTTTATTTTTAAAATGTACATAAATGTTACAAAAATTAGGTGACCTTTATTACCTAAATTTGAATGAAGAACCCCAATTATGCAGAAAGCTAATTGACAAGATAAATATATAGTTGAAGTTAGATTATGTGACTGCCAAGTGTAAAAAATAATTAAGGTGTCTAAAGATAAAATTACTAAATATAATGATAATTTTATGTGACAAAAGTTCTATATATTAAAACAGTTATGGTGATGTTGGTAGGTCGAGCTTAGGCAATCTCATTTTTCATCACATGCCAGGCATTCTTGGTAGGGTTGAGGTCAGGGGAATTGCCTGGCCACTCCAAAACACTGATATTATTGTCCTCAAGGAACTTTTTCACTCCTTTTGACTTATGGGCAGGGGCACGATCATGAATAAAAAAAGTCACACTCGTGAATGTTCCAAAATGTCAGCATGTGATCCCTAAACACCTTGATATAATTACTTCCCTTCACAGTAATGTTCATAGGAAGAAAGTACAGTCCACCTCTACCCTTATAACCACTAAAAGCACCCCAGACCATAACACTGTCAGGGTGCTTCACTGTCTTCACGGCATACTGCGGGTCATAACGGAACACACCACTGAGATGACGGATGGTCTTAGAGCCGCTCCTGATGAGGGTGGAGTGTAGGCGAAGGAGGGTTCAACGATCAGCTCCCCATGAAAGATGAGCAAGGGTTTTAAGAAGGTTCAGCCGGCTGTGACAAGTTGCCTTCAGAGAGGTAATGTGAGGTTTCCAGGATAACCTACGGTCAAAGAGGAGGCCCAGAAACTTGACTGTATCACGTTCAGGGATACGGGAGCAATAGAGGTACAAAGAAAGTAATTTGGTGGGTTTTAGTGCTGGAAAATTTAAACCCATGTGTGGTGGCCCAATTGGAAATACGGTCGACCGCATGATGGAGAGAAACTGTAATGAGGTGACAGTCAGCACCTGCACAGGCAATAGCAAAATCATCAACATAGAGTGATGACCAAATATTTGATGGAAGACTAGAGGCCAAATCATTAATAGCAAGGAGAAAAAGTGTTGTGCTCAGAACACATCCCTGGGGGACACCTTCAGCTTGGATCAAGTCCAGGGAGAGCACATTATTAACCCGAACACGGAAATGTCTATCAGTTAAAAAGTTCTTAAGGAAGGATGGTAGATTGCCTCGGAGGCCAAAGGAGTGGGCTTGGGCCAAAATATTATACTCCAAGTTGTGTCATATGCCTTCTCAAGGTCAAAAAATATGGCAATAACTGAGTGGTTATTCGCAAAGGCATTACGAACATACGTATCCAAGCATAGTAAGGGGTCTATGGTAGAACGTCCCTTACGAAAGCCATATTGATGAGTGGAGAGACTGTTGTGTGTCTCTAAATACCACACTAAACGTCTATTTACCAGGCGTTCCATCACTTTGCAAACTGCACTGGTAAGAGCAATGGGACGATAGTGGGAGGCTTCATGTCCTGTAGTGCCTGGTTTGCAGAAAGGGAGAACAATGGCAGATTTCCACAGCTGTGGAAGAACTCCTTGTGACCAAACAAGATTGAAAAGGCATAATAGGACTGCAAGGGCTGACTGATGTAAATGTTGTAGCATACGAATATGAATGTCGTCGGGCCCAGCTGCCGATGATCGGCAAGCTGAGAGTGTTGCCTCCAGTTCTTGAAGTGTAAAAGGCACATTATACTGTTCTTCTCTGAGAGAAGAAAAGTCCAAGGGTGCTAACTCTCTGGCAGACTTTGAGGAAAGAAACGAGGGGCATAGATGGGGCCCCTGAGAAATACGGACCAGATGATTGCCAATTTCATTGGCAACATCTAGTGGGTTTGCTATATCAACACCGGCAACCCGCAGAACAGGAGCCGGGTGAGGAGAATATTTACCACTCAGTTTTCGTACTTTTTTCCAGACTGAACTCATAGAGGAAGCAAGTGCGTTTAGCATCACGGATGACACGGCGAGCGATCGCACGCTTCTGCTTAAAATCAAGAAGTCTCTCCGTGGTTCTATTGTACCGGTACCTGCCCCATGCAGGGCGTTTCAAACGTACTGCATGAGCACAAGCAGGAGACCACCAAGGCACGCATTTCTGAGAATGTCTGCCCGATGTTTGGGGTATAGAATGAGAAGCTGCGGTTAAAACGGAGGACGAGAAGAGGTGTAAAAGCTCATCAATGAAGGACAAAGAAGGAACCTCACTAAAAACAGTTAGTTGTGAGTAAAGGTTCCAATTTGCCTGATCAAATTGCCAGCGTGGAATACGAAGAGGTGGTGAATATGAAGGGGAAGTAAGAATGATTGGGAAATGATCGCTGTCATGTAAATCCGGGAGAACAGACCAGGTTAAGTCTAATGCGGCGGAGGAAGAGCAGACTGAGAGATCGATGCAAGAGTGTGAGTCCGAGGATCAAAATGGGTATGAGTACCTGTATTTAAAACATGGAGGGGGTGGGTGGCAAGAAAAGCCTCTAAATGAATGCCACGGGAATCACAGTGAGACCCCCCCCCCCCCCCGCCAGAGGAAATGATGGGCATTAAAATCGCCAAGTAACAGAATCGGTGGTGGTAATGACGAAACAAGAAAGGCAATATCTGGAATAGATAATGCCCGAGAAGGAGAGAGATATAAAGAACGGAGCGTATACCACCTATCCCAAGTGGTTACGGGCTGCTGTGTAATGCAGGGGAAGTACGAACAAATAGCTGAGGGTTTACGGAATTTTCAGTGCATAGAAGAAGGGCACTTTCATTAAAGGTCCCATCAGGAAAAGGATCTGAAGAATACAATAAATTATAGCCTGAGATGGGAGAGATAACAGCAGAGTGTAATTTTGATTCCTGTAAGCAAACACCAACAGGGAAAAATTGGGAGAGTAACATTGAAGCTCACCCAATTACTGAGGCCGCTATATTCCACTGTAAATAGGCCATGATTGGCAATGATAAAGATACTTGAAATCCACAGGTAAGGGTTCCCACGGACTAGAGGGGTTAGAAAAGTCCACATGCGGAGGCAGCAGAAAATGTTCAAGCAGCGCAGGAGCGGTGCGCTGTGAAGAAAGGAGTTGCGCAGATGGAGGAGAGGAGAGAGAAGGAACAGAGGGTGGATCAGTGTCCATTGATGGTTGGTCTCTGCAATATATTCAGAGATTGCTTCAAGTTTTTTGGGAAATTTCAGAGACATCGTATGGGAGACATATTGGAGATGGTAGGGGGGATGAGTAAAGATGGGAACTGTAATGGACTGTACCAAGGTACGGGGGGGCAAAAGGGGGGAGGGAATGGAGAAGAAGCATGGAAGGGGACAGAAGAGGCAGAAACCTGGGAGGTGGCAGAAGAGGAAAGAAACTTGGGAGGGAACGGGGAGGTAGGTATAGTACGAGGAGGAGGGTTGAATCTCTACACTTGTAACAGACCCAGCGAGAGGGGAAGAACCAGTACAGAGACAGGGAAGGTAAAATGAGGAGGTGGAAGAAGGGAAAGAGGGGTTTTAAAGGACCTTTTTCTGACTTCTGAGAAGTAGAGGGACGATTGGGAGGAGGTGTCGTACGAGGGTCTCGTCAATACTGAGGCTTGTGAGGGAGAACATGAAGAAGCGAGAACAGATGAGGCATTGAAGTAGGGACGTCTGAGCCTAGGACAGCAAAAGAATTGATACAGGAGTGACTATGGGAGAGGTAACCACAGAGGAGGCTGCAAAAGATGGGACCCCAGAAGGGGGGGGGACGTTTTGAAACATGGGAAAAAGAAACACCAGGTAGTTTCCTTGGAGGCGGAGATGAGAAACTGCCATGGCATAAGGGAGACCTTCTGCCTCTTTGAGGTAATGGATTTCCGCTCATTTAAGTAGACTTGGCAACGGCGAGGGGTACAAAGGGTGAGCCTCATGAAAATTTAAGGCAAGGGGGAGGTCGATTGAAAGATGTATTAGAATGGTCATCGGCGCCACAGACGGGGGCATTCGGCTATGGATCTGCAATATTTCGCTGGATGGCCAAATCGCCAGCAATTTCTACACTGTTGTGGTGTAGGGATCACCTTTCGAACTTGTAACCCATGTCCTGCTACTAAACTGAGGATGGGAGTTCACGGTGTCAAAAGTTAAACGAGCCACATTGCTAGGGTATCGTCTCCGCCCGCGGGGGAGAAAGAGGCATAAGTGTTTTACCTTTAGGATTGGGAGATCTTGGAGTTCCAGCTGTTCAAGACTGTCATTGCCACAAAGTCTGGAAATTTTGTTGAACTATGGTATGGGGCAGAATGACAGTACCACTACAAGAATTGAGGGAATGATTTTTTTTCAATAGTGACAGGAACAGTATCTATATGGGAAAGAAGAGAAAGTCATGAGCTGGGTAGCATTTGTACAGTGATGATGCAGTACCGCTTCTTTAAGGCATGAAAAGAAATATCTTTACCAACATGGCGTAGGAGTGCCTTGCCAATTTCTGTGGTCAGAAAAATAGGCGGTAGAGGAAGGTCGGTCGTTAAAGTGAGAATTTAGTCCATTGTGCAGTCTGAAATGAGCGTGGAAAGGGGGGTGCAGGACGTTGTCAATCTTTTCTGAGAAGAACGGAAGGTGGAGAAAATATCATCAGCAGGTTAAATGTCGTTGGCGTTTAGGCGTGGGACCAGAGTTGGGTCCGACGTGGGAAAGGGCCCGGGGATTTTGAAAAATTGCCGCACCGTAGAGGGAGAGGCCAGAAGCATAGTCAAAGGAGAGTGGAAGTCAGATAAATCAAAGGAGTCAGTCGAGACCTCAGTACCTGAAGCGGGT